AACAGGAAAAGAATGCCTTAATTACAATCAGCAGTGAGTGATTTAAACATTTACAAAGGCTGCTCAAGTTTATCAGCAAGGGCTATAATAACTTCATAATTTTAAATGTGGATCTATTATGTGTACATGTATATGAGGTTAGGGGAAAGACATTGGTTTTTGAAGATATGCTGTACTTTATTTAGGTGCCTAATTAAGTTATTTGTTTTCTTTTTAGCCCTAGCACAAGAGTTTTTGCTTCAAACACAGAATTATCTGCCAGATAAACATTATTAAGAGTACTTAGCCAAAAGGTAAAAGGAGAAGGAGAATATATGTAAAATGGAAAGTGCCTCAAAGCACGATTCAATGCAACATGAATGGCTTAACAAACAAGCCTTTGATTTACGCTGAGAAGTTCCCAGGAACAGCTGTGCAGCCAGCATAAAATGGCTGATTCATGCTTTATCAGAGAACTGGAGGGGATCTGAGATCATTCTAGGCCACATCTCCTGCTTTCACGGATGAGGAAGAGATCCACAGAGGTAAGTGTGCCCAAAGCCTAGCTACAGTCCCAAAAACCCCAGTACAATGCATTTTCCTTCCAAAATACTGATGTGACTACCCTAACTTATACTGTTACCTGACACAGTGATAAAACTGAGGATAAATATCAAGTAAGGTCTTCCTATGTGCTGGGTACTGGGTTAAGTAGTTCACACGAACAGGCCATTTACTTCTCGAAGCAAACCCTGTGAGATCAGAGCTGTTATTATCCTGATCCAACATCCGAGGAAGTGGAAATACAGTGAGATTGAGCAACTCATCTGGACTTACACAGATGGCACAGCCAGGATGTGAACCCCGAGAGTTTGAGGCAAGAATCCGAATTCTTCAACTGCTCCAACACACTGCAATACCATTAAACACACTAAAGAATTACGTGAGTGGAAGCTCCTGCTACAGCTTTTAACAAAGAGCAAAACATAATTGAGAATTTCACATTCTGACATATCCCCTGAAGCCTGCAGCCCTTGCTTCTCTTTGCTCTCTCAATCTGTCTCTCTAGACTTGAGAGCTGTTTGGAGAGCCTGGATTCAGTATCAATGATGCCATTATTCATCAAGCCTGACAAATAGGTTGGTTTCAGGAAATCTGTGCTTCCACTTCTCCATTTCCCCTACTTCCCACCAGAGAATGAATGCTTCTTTCTCAACATTCCTATTCACAAAGGAAGAATTACTATTTTTTTAAAGAAGAAAAAGGAAATGGAATTAGTATGGAAAGCAATCAACTAATCTATTAGTAATGAATTTACTAGGCAGATTATTTATAATAAATGAAAACCTGAGAGCACAGCAAACAAGACCTTTATGTTTTGCTAAAGGGAGTGTGTGTGTGGGGGGGGGGTCACAGTATTTGTATAATAATAGTAGACCTAAAGAAAAAGAAAAATTTCCCTCAAATTTTGTAAATACACATTGTGCCGAGACTGTATTTCAGTGTTTGATACGATCAAGCAACCTAAAATTTAGCAAATATTAGGCTATCAGTATGTCTAAACATAATTTTTATTTTTAAAAATATTTCTGAACATACTATTTATAATGAAGTGCTACAGAAATCCTGAATTTCATAATTTAAGTAATTTCTGTTTTAAAAAAAGGCTAGAGTGGTCTCAGGGCAATAATGAACAACATGAACACAGGATTTATGAAAAAGGAAAAACAATCTTGCACAAGCATTAATCACATTACTCCAACATTCCGTATTTTTCACCACAATAGTCTAAACATCACAGTTCAGCTTTGAGAATTTCCTGCTGTCCAATTTCATTCAACTTGTAGAAAGATCTCCCCTGGTGTCTTCTCAAGATAGGCATCCCCCAAGATACTCAGACCAGTGCTACTACCAGGCTTATTTTAGTCTTGAAAAGCCAAATCAGGAGTCAATTATAGCACCTGCCATTAACCAAAACAAGGTTACTGCTTTAAGACATGCAACAGCCACATGGCATAGGTATTATCATTGCCATTTTATAGAACAGGACTTGCAGCTCAGAGAAAGTAAAGAAATGGTCCAAGAGAACCAAAGCATAGATGCTGTGACTCAGCTCAAGTCTGACATCCAAGTCCATGTGCTTTCCTTGACGTCACAATGCTTCTTGCCTGGATGCCTTCTAGGCTCTCCTTTGACTAGACCCTTTCCTCTCCTTTTTCTTTTTTTAAAGACAAGTATAAAGTATATATATTTATGGTTCAGATCATGAAGTTTTTTTTTTAAGATTTATTTATTTATTTGAAAGTCAGAATTACACAGAGAGGAGGAGGAGAGCCAGAGAGAGAGAGAGAGTGCGCGAGAGAAAGCGTGAGAGAGAGCTCTTCCATCTGATGGTTCACTCCCCAATTGGCTGCAATGGCCAGAGCTGTGCAGATCCGAAGCCAAAAGCCAGGAGCTTCTTCCAGGTCTCTCATATGGGTGCAGGGGCCCAAGGACTTGGGCCATCTTCTGCTGCTTTCCCAGGCCATAGCAGAGAGCTGGATTGGAAGAGGAGCAGCCGGGACTAAAACCGGAGCCCATATGGGGTGCTGGTACCGCAGGCGGCAGCTGTACCCACTATGCCACAGCGCCAGCCCCCATCATGAAGTTTTGATACACACACTGGAACAGCTAAATAGGGCTATTTCATTATGCATCAGTACCAAGACTTATCTTTTTGTTGTATTTTTTCCCCCTAGCCTTCACTTTTTATGCCCAGTTTCAGACCCACCTTTACAACACCTTCCTGGACCTGTCCAGATTTTATCCTGAGTCTGTCCAGATTTTATTTTTTGTAGATTTTTTTATAGTGCTTAAAACATATAAAAATTTAAATATCTCACAATGCTGTTTGATATGCATTCCTTCTACTTCCCAACTTATTTTTAAATTTCTCAAGAGCTTTCCTGGGCTTGCAACACAGTAGGGGTTTCATTAATTCTTAGGAATTATTCTGAGGCCATCTGGCTTCCCTGTTTATATAAGAGGAGCCACTGTTAGATATTGGGCTGAGGCTCAGGACGTGCAGGAGGGTAGTCACAGAACAGAGAAGGGAAGATAGACTGGGGCTATATATAGAAAGACTTCCAATGTAGTCCAAAGAATATGATTTTATTTAGTAGGTGATGAGTAGTCCTGAGAAGAACTTGGGAACTGTGTGAGAGAAGCTCTAATTCAGGAAGACATGAGAATGTTTGGCTGCAATCTGAATAAATATCAATCGGACAGGGTGAGAACCCGGGTTTAGGATAGCCACAGCATCTGTGTCCATTTGTCTCTAACATTATTGGAAAGGTTTTACTCTTGCTGATTTAAATCTCAATGCCTTCACTCTGCACAAAAATGCATCTAGCACCCAACAGTCAAGACAGACTGTTCCAGATGCTGTAGAATGCATTATCTAAAGTCCCAAAGGGACAATAAAAGACAAACTAATTATAGCTATCATTAAGAGCTACTGATTCACTTTAATAAAATACATTTCTGAAATGGCAGGAATGATGTCTGGAAAGACTAATTTATTCAATGTGAGCAACTGAAGGAATTCAATTAATAATCATTGTTAGTGTTTGAAAAAATTGTATGTCAAATAATTTTTCAGCAAATTTTCTTTATGTGGCCAAGAAAAAGTCATGCATAAATCCAAATCTCTTAAGAACTATATCTTATCCTTGTTATTTTTTTAATTAAATGAGAAAGTCATTCAGCTGGTGCTTTTGTAAGTAGAAATAAGGAGAAAACACTGAGACAAAATGTCTAGTCCAAATGATATATTGTGTAAAACAGTGTCTAGCATGAATAGCAACATACTGTAATCTTTTTTTAAAAAGATCTTATTTATTTGAAAGGCGGAGCTACAGATGCAGAGAGAGAGAGAGAGAGAGAGAGAGATGTCTTTCATCCATTGGCTCACTCCCCAAATGGCTGCAACAGCTGGAGCTGTGAAGATCCAAAGCCAGGAGCCAGGTGCTTCCTCCTGGTCTCCCATGCGGGTACAGGGACCCAAGCACTTGGGCCACCTTCTATAGCTTTCCCAGGCCATAGCAGAGAGCTGGATCAGAAGTGGAGCAGCCAGAACTCGAATTGGCACCCAAATGATATGCCGGTACTGCAGACGGTAGCTTTACTGGCTACGCCACAGCACCAGCCCCAACATACTGCAATACTGAAAGTTGCTTAGAGTAGATTTAACTGTTCTCACAAGTGAGGCAATACATACGCTAATTAATTTGGTTTAGACATTCCACAATATATGCATATTTCAAAACATGTTTTACACAATAAATATAAAGAACTTCTATTTGTCAATTCAAACAAGTTTGTTTTTGTTTTTGTTTTTGTTTTTGTTTTTTAAAGATCAACAATCTTAAGAGAATGAGAACACAATCGGAAGGAAAAGAACCAAGAGCTTCCTCCACTAAAACAAATCCTTCCCTCCTAGACGGAAGCAATTGTGATTAACTCCTAGGGAGGCCCAAGGTTAGCCTCTGATGATAAAAAGTCATCTGTGTTGGATGAGATGGGGAATAACATGTCTTGGAGACCAGCAGGTGACATTACCCTGAGGAACATGTCATCCCAGTTCTTGTGACCCCTCAGGACCTGGGAGGGTCCTAGAAACCAACAGTACCTATGCTTTGCTTCATCACGCGACAGTCACGACAGTGGCCATTTATGCTTGCAGGCGGCTCTTCCATTATCTTTCATCTTGAAACATCCTGAAGATACCAACACCCTCACTATTCTTAACTCCTCTCCGCCCCCTCACAGGTGAAGAGCTAGAACGAAGCTTAGTGAGGTTAAGAAAAACTGCCCTAAACTTCTCAGCAAGTGACAGAGCCAGATTCTGAAACAAAATCATACTGATTTGTTAAACCCCCTAGAATTAGAAAGAATAAATCAAACAGTGCAAGAAATGACCACAGACCTAGTGGAAGGAGAGCCGGAGGCCCAACAGTCAGGTACAGAGAGAGTCAACTTACCGGCATATTTTGTAGTGTTAGATTCATCCATGGACCAAAAGCAATAATCAAAGGCAAATACCTGAATGAAAGAATAAAATATTAAATGTAAAAACTAGTTAACTGATGAATATATCAGAATGCCTAAACAAAGAAACTCACTTATGGAGATGAGAAGGATGCCGACTACTGTCTGATTTAAAGTCTCTTATAGGTTTGGTACTTTTGTTAACGCTGAAGTTTCTTTTAAGCTAAATTTATAGCTACATCCTTGTATTAGAGTAAGTTGCTTATGAAAATTACTGTTTATCCAAAATTACTATTTATCCAGAAAATTACTACTTTTCCAGACATCTTAAAAAATTTTTTTTGGCAAAAGATACTTAATGAGAAATAAAACAATGACGTTCTCTTCCAAGTCTACAGTCCCAATGTCTGTTGAAACCTGGCTGGATCTCTTATGGCTTCTCAGGTAACACTAAAAAAACTAACCCTCATTTAAACCAGTTCCTTCCATCTATCCATACTATCATTTCTAGTGTAGCTGAATCTCCAAACTCCTCCCACCCCTATTCCCAACTTGGCTTCCTTCTCCCTCCTGTTTCAGTAGGCAAGCTCCACCAAGTAACATCAGTAAGTCCACAACCCACTCTCCCATGTCTTAGTTGTCCATTTAGATACTAGATCTCAGGAATGGCTGATGTCTCTCCATAAGGACTCCCATCTAACCACTGTTTCCCATGCATATTACCACTGCATGAATTCCAGATTTCATTATCAAACGCAGAGCAATATCTCCCAAAGTGTGTTCCAAAAAACAGTAACTCCATGACAAAGTCCATGGGAAAAAATTAAAACCTGTTGCACATGGGTGTACAATCTTATTCCATTTGAGATTGTTGGTGCAATTCTCAATATTGAAGGCTCTGAAAAGTCCTCCAGTAAAGAAACTCACTCAGGGGCCAGCATTGTGGCACAGCAGGTAAAGCCGCCACCTGCAATGCTGGCATCCTATATGGGCACCAGTTCAAGTTCCCATGCACTACTTCCAATCCAGCTCCCTGTTAATGGCCTGGGAAAAGCAGTGGAAGCCAGCCCAAGTGCTTGGGCCCCAGCCACCCATGCAGGAGACCCAGAAGAAGCTCCTGGCTCTTGGCTTCGACCTGGCCCAGCCCTGGCTGTTGCAGCCATCTGGGGAGTGAACCAGAGGATGGAAGATCTCGCTTTCTGTCTTTCCCTGTTTCTTCACAACTCTTTCAAATAAACAGATGAATCTTACAAAAAAAGAAACTCAATTGTTGAGCTTTTTTTTGGGGGGGGGGAGACCCTTGTTTGGGTCTTGATACTGGTGGTGTTTCTGAGAACATCCGTTAGCAAACTCTGGCCAATGACTCAGCAGCCTCTTTCCTGGGCTCCTTGCTATACTAGCAAGCAGTCTTTTGTTCTCTTGCAGTTTAAATCATAAACTGCAAGTCTCCCATGGACAGGGATCCTTCCATGCTTCATCCTCCCCAAGGGATGTCAAGCCCTGGGGCACAGCACCTATGCTCTGTGGCCTGGCCTTTGAGAATGGTCACAAGGAGACCCTGCAGCTGAATGGCCCAACTCCCTCATGCTCCAGCAGAATGTGCCCTTTCCTTGGAATCACTAGGGACAGTGTCCCCCTCTGTCTTTGTTCTCTTCATTTCTACCCTCTGAAATATTTCCAACTTCCTAAGGCCCACTTCAATATACTTTTCTTTCAGGAAGCATTCCTGGGTAAATCCATAGGAATTTTCTTTTCCTTCTCTGAAATTTCACAACATTGTTTAACCTTTTCTAGGGCTCCAATCCCAATTACTCCATTTTTCACCTACTGTGCATATGATCTATGTACATGCTTTATCTCTACTTGTCTCCTAAGTTCCTTAAAGGCAGGAGCCACAGCTAATTCATCTTTGAAGCCGGCGATATCCTTAGCAGTAGTTTTATAATTTCTTATCGAATGATTAATGGCATTGAAAACTTGCAAGGAAGCAGGCACCGAAGAGGAAGCTATGCTCTGAATAGTTTCAGAGCTACGTCTACTTAATTTTGATGCTTTTAAAACTGATTCAGATATACTAGTATATGATGCACATAACTTACATCATCAATCCTGTCTCCAAACAAAATTTTGTTACTTCTACAATCATTTGCTCTGGTCTTACAATGACCGAGTTTCAGAAGAATAGCTATGAAACAACAGTTTCAGCCAGCAGAGTGTGGAATATTTACTGCATTTCAAGGGCTGTTCCAACGACTCAAGAGACCACACAGGCATAATCCAGTTAATCTTACTGCCTCTGGGCAGAAATGAACTTCAACACTTCTCCTGAGAGATGAGGATCTGTCTTGTTTTAAAACATTTCCAGAAAAGGAGATTCCACAACCTCCCTCTAATGGTATCTTATAACACTTAACTCTCCCTCCCAGGGCATTTTCTTTTCTTTTTGTCTTAAGTCAACTCTCCTGACTTTAAATGGTCTATAGAGGATATTTCTTAATGGGTATCTTTACTGTTCTCCTTTAGAGTCCCATTCAATTGCAACAGTGCTATATGTAGTGCAAAAATCATGTATTTCCTATTTCCTAATTTGCATGCCTCCCCCACACTTATTTTTAAGTTTGCAATTCTACATACTGAATGTTACAAACCTTCAGATTTACATGCATAGTAAAGCTACTTGAACTAAAATGAAATTCACCCCTAATTTTGAGGGCCAGTCTATCAGTAAGAATTATTCTAAATTCTATGACCACCACCATTTCTAACAATCAAATGGTCACTTAAAACTGTTTTTAACTAATAAAAACTAGGCTAACCCTCCGCCTGCGGCGCCGGCACCCTGGGTTCTAGTCCTGGTTGGGGCGCCGGATTCTGTCCCGGTTGCTCCTCTTCCAGTGTAGTTCTCTGCTGTGGCCCGGGAAGGTCGTGGAGGATGGCCCAAGTGCTTGGGCCCTGCACCCGCATGGGAGACCAGGAGGAAGCACCTGGCTCCTGGCTTCGGATCGGCACAGCGCGCTGGCCGTGGCAGCCATTTGGGGTGTGAACCAATGGAAGGTAGACCTTTCTCTCTCTCTCTCTCTTACTGTCTAACTTTGCCTGTCAAAATAAATAAATAAATGAATGAATAAATAGTAAAGCCCTGCAAAGGAAATACAGCACTGATAGATCCAACAGTTCTTTCCTTGCCAAATTCTGGCCTCTGCTTGAACTGAGTTATGTCTTGAATTTAAAAATCTTTGATCACTGGTATTTTAGAATGGTGATTCCTCAAACCATAAACAGTATAAGATATTTTTTTCCTAAACACTTACTAAGAAGAAAGCTATACTCCACCAATCTTGAGTGATTTACCACCAAACTCAAAGCAAGTGAACATAAATTTCTTTTTAAAGATTTATTTATTTATTTGAGAGGCAGAGGCAGAAAGAGATCTTCCATCTGCTGGTTCACTTCCCAAAGGGCCTCAAGGGCCGGAGCTGTGCCGATCCCAAGCCAGGAGCCAGGAGCTTTCTCCGGGTCTCCCACATGGATACAGGGGCCCAGGGACCTAGACCGTCTTCTACTGCTTTCCCAGGCCATAGCAGAGAGCTGGATCGGAAGTGGAGCAGCTGGGTCTTGAAAGGGCGCCCATATGGGATGCCAGCACTGCATGCAGCGGCCTTACCCACTACACCACAGCGCCGGACCCAGAAAAATTTTTATTTTTGTTTACTCTCAACTACAAGTGATCCCCTAATCTTTCTCTTCTATGAAATCTTCCACTGCTGCAGCCTGGCACTGCTTCACCTACGGTCTCAACATACGCCTTTGGTGACAGGGCAGTGTCCATGGGATTTCATGCAGGGCAGCCTCTGCACATAATATTTTTCCAGTTAATTCACAGATTGCCAAGGGAAGGAGCTGGAATGCAGACAAGAGCATTCAGTGCATGTGAGCACTGTTAGGACTAAGGAGTCCAGGCTCAGGATGTATTTTTAGAAGTTGCATTACTTTCAGATGCTTTTTCTGGGGGCAGCTGGTTCCTTCAATGGTCAAATACAGACGTGGTTGCAAGACAAGCACCAGGATCCCTGTCAACACCAACACTCCTTGGGTCAGGTCGATAAACAAGTATGACCACGGCAAGTTTAATTTTCAGTTTTCACAGAAATTACAACAATTATTTGTGTGTCACCAGAAAAATTTATATCCATTACTAAGGCAGTTTTAAAGATGTTTATTCTTTGTTTTAGGAAATCTGATCATGTCCCTTATAATCTTTTGAGTGCTAAAAATGAACTTTTCATACACAATTATCCTTTTCATGGCCAAAATTTATTTGTAATTGAATAACACAAGAGTTACTAGTTCTTCTTCTTCTTCGTTCATTTTTGATTTTGTTGTTCTGGACTGGCAGAGTGGACAGTGAGAGAGAGAGACAGAGAGAAAGGTCTTCCTTTGCCGTTGGTTCACCCTCCAATGGCCGCCGCGGCCAGTGCGCTGCGGCAGGCACACCGCATTGATCCGAAGGCAGGAGCCAGGTGCTTCTCCTGGTCTTCCATGGGGTGCAGGGCCCAAGCACCTGGGCCATCCTCCACTGCCTTCCTGGGCCACAGCAGAGAGCTGGCCTGGAAGAGGGGCAACCAGGACAGAATCTGGTGCCCCAACCGGGACTAGAACCCAGTGTGCCGGCGCCGCAAGGCGGAGGATTAGCCTAGTGAGCCGCGGTGCCGGCCGAGTTATTAGTTCTTACAGCACTTTTTATTTCCCGATACAAAATCCATTGACATTTCAAAAGAAATAAAATCATTTTCTTGACAGTTATTCCTTAAAAACTGACCACCCTGGACAAAAAGAAAAACATTTGTTTTCAAAGAAATTGTAATAGAGAAATATGTATTTAAGATTGCTAACTCATTTCATTAGGATTCCTAACGCTTATTTAATGTATTCATTATGAAGCCACTCATATCTTAACTGGAGTATGAGAGAGAGGGAATTTCTTAATGCACATTTTTGTTAAATCAAATGGAAACAAAGTATAAACTTTTATATTTCATCACTGACCACCCACC